ATCCGAATGCAAGCATTCGGTTGGCGAAGCGACCCGACCGGTTTCAGCTGGCCGCCAATGCCAACACTCATCAGGGGTCTGTCGGTGTAGAATAAAACTGACTGGTCCTATTTAAAGAAACTCGAAGTTCCTACTACTAGCAACTAGAAAACTCAAGCGGGTCCAGAAAACGACAAAATCAAAAAACTTATATTCTACGCATCCATGGCTCGAGGCCCAGGATAACACTACTACGCGCTTTCACATAGAAAATACCGACACACCTTCGTCCGGGAATACAAACCTTACTACTTACTTCCACAGGTACTGGTATCAGCATCGTCCCATAACCCAAACATATTTTGAAATCACGTGCCATATAATACCTGACGAAACCATTCCTGCCAGATCAATTATTACTCCACATACTACTTCAGATCATCAACAATCTCCCAGCATCATCAATGAGTCTACCAATCTAGATTTTTTCTACTTATCCCCTCATACTCTCACAGCTCAGCCCGCCAAACACTTTACCAAACTGCATCTGTCCCAGTTCGTCAATACAGGTAACCATTGGTCCCATAACCCACCGAACTTACGAGAAAAATTCCTAAGGGCACTGTCAAAAATATCATCTGGGTATGCGCGCTTCCACAATTCCATTTTTAATGAAAAGAGAAAGGGAAGCTCAGTCCCAGATACGGTTGCAAAACGTCTACAACGATGCAGAAACGTGCTTACTACAACAACCTTCTGCTGCTTGTTCGAAAACGAGCAATAATCCTGAATACTCTGAAAAATCAACTTCTTCTTCACAGGCACCCTCTGGTTCTTATGAACTGGCAGACTTACTACCTCATTACTACCATTGAAAATTCTCAATACACACCCCAGATAATCCCAGCAATCCCCAATGCTGGTCTGCTCCAACGTTAGATTGCTATTAGAACTCCCTTGAAATTCTTTCAAAATCTGCATAGCCTTCATCAACGAGATTCTGTCTCCCTTCTTATACTTGACAAAAACCGATACATCGTCAACGAGACGAAATCCATGGAAAAGAGCCTTATCTGAACCCAAAGAAGAGAGGAAAAGAAACTCATCAAATGCACATAGAAGACAGGCGAGCGCTGGGCTGGAAGACTTGCCCATGGGAATACCGATTCTCTGCTTCAGCACGCAACCAGAAGCCATCACGAACGTATTACTAAACTCGAATTCCACAAATGACAAAATGACCTAAAATTTCATCACCGCCCACCCTTCCTCACCTCGTTTCCTAGCCAGTCTTGCACCTCTACCTCTTCTTTTTACTGCAACCCCCATATACTCTTTCTCTTTCCAAAAGTCAATAACCCACGAAACAGCCTGTAAAATAGAAGGGTGTGGGAGGTTGGAAAACATTTCCTTAACATCAAAAGAAGCACCTAACAAACCCTCCCTCTTCCCGACATCTTTGTTTACCGCAACCAAACTTGGCACCAAATCATCGACGCATCTCAAGTTAAGGTTAGAGCAACGGGGTAGACTCCACAACATGCAATTGACGGCCTTTGAAATTATCTTCCCACCAACTGCCGAACCCTCCGGATAAGAGGGACAAATTGGTCTCCACCTTTCGACGTCCTTATGTTTGGGTAAGCAGTACGCTCGTTCGAACTCGCAGTCACTCTTCCATTTACCCACCACTTCCAAACCTTTGTCTTTGTAGGAGGCAACCACATCATCCAAAGCACTTCGTTCGTCACCATCATACGTTAAAAAAGCAGCATTGTCCAAAAAGAGTTTCGCCATACCTCTCTGATATAGCACAGAGCAACACACATAGGTGTCACCCATATATCTAGTGGGCAACAAACCATATTGGCGAGCATCTCCCGAAATGGTGACACGTCATCCTCACTATATGCACGTCCACTCACCGAGGTCGCATCATTCTTACAAAAACACGAAGAGAAAGCCTCGAGGGTGAAGGAAGAAGAGTCTAGAGGAGGAAGGGAAGAGTGGAGATGAAAGGCATTAAGTATCTCTCGCTTTAGTGTCGCAGAAGACCGACTACAAGAAGGTCGCAGAACATTCTTGCTATTCTGCAACCATGACGGGAAAACATCCAATTCTGAAATCCGAAAAGAAGCATGCCCATCAAACGTAGGAAATTCCTTCGAGATTGACCCACAACAGCATTGAACAGTATTATTCTTGGCAGCCTTCCGAAAATTGTGCAAACAGTCCCCAATCGTTCGATTCCTACGCCATACAATTTGCATGCGACGCACTAACACCTCCTTCCAAACCAAAGGTATTTTTAACTCATAGACCAGCTGAGCACATAGCCTCCTCACTTTGGATTTTTGAATACTGTCATCATACACCAATTTAACCACTAGCCGTTCTCGCACATGGACACCAAATCTCGAAAAAATGCATCTCGACAAAATACACCTGAGTCTCCCACGCGATCGTTTCTTACTAAAGGTACGGGCTACAGTAAATGCGACAACCAAGGCTTCAAATGACCACGTGCGAAGAGACAAACGAGAGAGAGGATAACTAAGCAACGGAATAAGCGAAGGTTTAAGTGTTAGCGATTTACCAAGAAAGGGAACAACAAACTCAAAGGTTAGGGTAATACCGTCTTTGATCCAGCCTCTAGCATGCCGAAACAACCCACGTCCGAAAACGCACGAAACGATAGACCCACCATACATACGTTTCAAGAGTTTCCATCTATCCGTATGCACATCACCTCCGCGACATACAACAACCACACGATGAGTCAACTTGTCTCTACAACTGTCTAAGATCGACAGGAGACTGCTAGTTCAACCACCAAAACTGCGAAAGAAAAAGAGCAATGACTTACCATCCGAAAACACAGTCGGGCTAAACTTGCGATTCTTCTTGGAACGTCGCCTTCTCTCTCGCAACCCAGGTCGTGAACGTTTCGATCTTCTAACCTTATCCCTCACATTTAATGACGGTGAAAACAGCCTAATAAAGAATTTCTCGCAAGATCTCACCTCGTCCTTCGATGTAGCACACAAAGGTATAATCACATATTTTTGCACGCCCACACGACGAAGCCATCGATACAATCTCTCGTTCCTTACCCTCCCGTTTTTAGATTCCGAATTCTGCGAACGATACACGTGCTCTCCCCACCTTGTGTGCAAATCCCTGTCCGTACTCCCGATGTACAGATGTCGACACCATGGCGAAAACAAAGCATAGACCACCGAACCTTTTGTCGTATCAAGATCAAATCCATTCGAAACCGCACATTGTAAAAACCCGCACAATTTAACCCCCCATGGGATCTACCCTGAGACAATTAGCAATAATGTAATCACAATCAGCAGAGAGTTGAGAGGTCTACATCTTAACCAATCACATGACAACGAACGAATTCGAACACAACAATGAAGAAGACTCCAAAGCCACGACGCGGTCGGGGACGAAACTATGAAGTTGCCGAGTCATCGTTGACCTCGGTACTGCCCTTTCCCCCTTCCTCTCCCTCCGTTACTTCGTGAATAACAACACCACCCTTCTTGACAGTACTTCCTCGTAACACACCAAACGCCACGTCATCCCGTTTCAACGCCAAATCCTCCTTCGTTTTATCCAGAGTGGAATAGGTAACTCCTTCTTTAGCACACAACGCCACCACCTTGTCTTTCTTCAGTGGTTTCAAAAACTTACGTGTCTCTGCCAAGAAGGCATCCCGATCATTGGCTTCCACGGCCAGCACGGCAGGATTAAGCTGCTTCTTTCCTTTCTTCCCAGTCGTAGCTACCTTGTCCAACCGTGTCTTCAGGTTCGACGCCAACGGAGTCGACCGCTCCACCGCCAGCTTCGCCATCTTCTCTTTTAAACGTTCAACCTGTTCCGCTTGTCGTCTCCCGTTGAGTTCGCGCAATCGCCACTCCTTCAAGAGCTCGATCTCGTGCTCCTGATGTTCCACCTTCTCCTTAAGTTTAAGGTCCTCCATCGCAGGTGAGTGCGTCGATACCATCCGAGCTCGAGTCCTCATTCCAGGCACCAGAGTAGCGGTAACAACGACACTGCCTCGTTTGTTACCTGGCCGTAGCGCTTCCGTTCTCCAAACATCAGCAGCAGCATTCGCCTCCTCACTGACTGTCCTTAACCTAGCAATTTCCTCTTCCATGGCGAGTCGACAATCCGATCTAGCCTTCTCCTCCTCTAAGTCCCTCTTGTACTTACCGTAAACATTCTCGGAAGTTGACACTCTCTGACCGTTACGCAGCGCCATTCGCAAACCTTCAATCTTGACACGCAGCTTGCTAGCCTCGTCATCTTTATTACTTTTCTTATTTTCCAACAATTCCCGCACAGCGTCCAACTTGCTTCCCATCTCATTCCTCATCTCAGCCTGAAAGTCCTCTCGCGCTTTCTTTTCTTGAAGCATTCGTTCCTCTTCTCCATTCTGTTTCTTAACCCATTCTTCTTCTTCCTTCTTGCATTGTTCCTTGGCGATTTCCGCATCTTGATGTGCTTTGATACCTACGACCGTTGCCTCCAGCGATTCCACCCGTGGTCTCAACCCTCCTCCGTAACCATAGTTGAAGCCACTGTAGCCGCCGGATACCCCAGCCATGGGGACGTTGACCGCAGGGGTACTAGGGACAGTAACGAACACAGTACTGGGATTGGTAGGGACAGCAGCAGGAGTAGCAGAGAAAGTAAAACGACGATATGGAAGAGGGCAGAAACGAGACAGATGACCGAGTTGTCCGCAATTGTAACACTGGCGATTTGCCAACGGCTGACCAGTATTCGCCATGACACTGCACCGAAAGGTAACAACGAAGCCACTCGTACGTAGTACTACCTCTACGACGGTTACCCCGCGAAGGGAAGCTGTCGATATAATGACGACAACACTTCACCGAGCCTTAGATGACAGTAGACACAACCGAACCAGAGAGACCATTAACATTCGTCAACGCACAAAGACACGGAGGAGAGAGAGAGAGAGAGAGAGAGAGAGAGAGAGAGAGAGAGAGAGAGAGAGAGAGAGAGAGAGAGAGAGAGNAGAGAGAGAGAGAGAGAGAGAGAGAGAGAGAGAGAGAGAGAGAGAGAGAGAGAGAGAAAGAAACGACGACCAAGTCAATGAAATCCCGAACGCGACGTTTCAACGAAAAATAGTACATGAAAGAACAATCCGAATGCAAGCATTCGGTTGGCGAAGCGACCCGACCGGTTTTGGCTGGCCGCCAATGCCAGCACTCGTCAGGGGTCTGTCGGTGTAGAATAAAACTGACTGGTCCTATTTAAAGAAACTCGAAGTTCCTACTACTAGCAACTAGAAAACTCAAGCGGGTCCAGAAAACGACAAAATCAAAAAACTTATATTCTACGCATCCATGGCTCGAAGTTCCAGGCTGGCCAAATGCAGAACCCTCTACTGACAGATCTTCACGTCGGGCATCTTCGATTTGCAGATAGAACCATGCTCAGCATGCTGGAGTAAGGGTATGGCCACCCCATCGTGCAATTGTCGCACCTCGACCTCGGGCTTCCCAAGACCGTTTCGTGTGCAAATATTACAGATACAGTAAACTCTTCCTTGTTTCAAGTTCTGACATGATAGCACTTTTCTACAGAAAGAAGTTCAAAGAACCATACGCGACGTACAGATGTCAACTTGCCAAGTCAATCCTGGAACATATGGTTTTGACTAACTTGCAGACCGAGTGGAGCCCAACCACATCGATGAGACTCTGAGATGAAACAATGCAGACTGCACCCACATGCATTATGACCACTGACCAGGGAAATTTTGTCCTTGGGCCCCGAAAGTAGGCTATTTCCTCAGGGTTCCGTTTGTAGACTACTCGTTCTTTTAACAGCAATTTCGTCAAAACGGACATTTTTCATTTTTTGAACGAAATTGAAACCGACTAAATTGGCCCGATTCATCATGATGTCGAAATTTTGACGAAATTGAGGGTCCAGCGTTCTTAAAACGCCATACCCCCTGGACTCCAGCTAAGTCCAGATACATCCAGGTGACGATGACATTGAGCGTCCGGCGTTCTTAGAGCACCATACCCCGTGGACTCCAGCGAAGTCCAGATACATCCAGGGGGTCCGGCGTTTTAAGAACGCCGGACCCCCTGGAGTCCAGCTAAGTCCAGGTACATCCGGGGGGTCCAGCATTTTAAGAACACCGGATCCTCAAGAGCTAAAATTTTGACCTGAATCCGGCCAATTAGTCGGTTTCAATTTCATTCAAAAAATAAAAATTGACTGTTTTGAGTCTTTTGACGGAAGTGCTGTTTTTTCCCTCTTTTCACCAGTCTGAGGCTGACAGGTTAGGATTCATAAAGATGGCCTACCAATAAGCAGCTTAGTGGTTAACATGGCCAGCCGGCAGCCAGATATGTGGGCATGGCAATAGGCTATAAGAAGACAATACAGGTGTGTAGTAGAGCAGACATGAAGACTGGCAGACAGACGGACATAGACCAATAGACAGACAGATAGCTCAGATGGGCAGACATGTCAAGCAGAATCCCCATATTGATGCTTTGAGTCATGGACTCTTTTACCCTTGTCAAAAGTGGACGACACCACAAACAACACCAGGCAACGCTATTGGGGCAACCCAACCGCACAGTGCAAAGCTAACTGCCTGACACGGCAGTGCCCCACGCAGCAGTGCTGCAAAAGGCCAAACTACCCAGCGCACAAGCAAAATGCACGGGAAGACAAGGCGTGCGGATCGGCAGCAAGGCAGCAATTCAGCAAGGCGCAGAGCACAACACTGACATGGCAACTGAACTACACGGCAAACAGACAAGCTTGTAGGGAAAGGCATGCCAAGTGGGTGGGCAGCACGGCAATGGAAGAGCGCAGACGAGCCCTTCCACACATCCAACGCAGACCAAACCCATCCATCACCCACTCACACCACAACTGAAACCCCACAGAGTACTGGTTCCGACCGCCTGCTGAGCCAGGGAAGTCACTCCGACGAACATCTGTCATCAACCGTAATACTGTACCCACAGACATCCCCAATAGTACTACAGGCAATTCAAATAACCTGCCACCTACTAAGAGGTGCTCACATAGACATGCAGAAAGTACTTAGAAAACCTTGGAGAAAAAGAAGGCTATACAATAGTATACATTTTTAATTTTTTTTTGTGTGTGTGTGTGTTGTCATATTGCTATACACTAAAAAAAAAAAACATGTCGTTGACTGTGCCAGACTGTTTCGTCAGACTTTCACCGATTATCAGGAGGGTAATCCCCGACAGTCTGCCCAAGATACATTTGACTGATGGATAAGGACTCACCACATCGCCCAGAGTTAGCAACACCCCTGAGAAAAGTGGTCGACTTTACTCACACCAACCCTGCAATGCTAGCAGACGGTCGGTCTAAACCCCTGACAAGAGTGAGCGAGTGTGTGTGTTTGAGAGGTCTGTGCTCCAAGGCGCGCGAGATACGATACTTGATTACTTGTACCCGCACAGCTCCGACAAACCATATCGGCCCACCTTGAATGAATGAGACAAAGCAGGATTGACGTTCCCCGCAGCAAAAGGCCGACAAAAAAAAAGTTCACAGGGGCAGGACAGATGCATCCAGTAGTGGAAAGTAGGGAATTTTAAACCGGACTCTACAAGCAGCATCTACTCTTCAACTGTAGTACATGGATAGACATGGGACAGACGCATCCAACAGTGGAAGGCAGGGGAAGACAATGTCGAATGATGAGAGTAGCATCAATGCTTCAGACGCCATTTTCAGACAGACCAGAACACACGCAGTGTGGTGTGGCCGTGTTGCTGGTGTTGCCTTCCGCTTCGCGGCTCCGCTCCCTTGCCGCTCATCCGCTGGCCGTCCCTTCCTTGCTCATTGCTTGAATGCCTTGTAGTTCACTTGCCTTGCAGGTGCTGCCTTGTGCTCCACTGCCTGGTTGCCGTGCTACGCGACCGCTAGCATTGTCGTTCCCTGCTGTGTGGTTGCCTTGTTGGTGTTGCCTTGTGCTTCACGACGTGGTTGCTGCACTGCTTTTCCTGCGCGCGTTCCTTGCAGTCGTTTTTGGCGTTGTGCAGCCGTGTTGCCTCTACTGCGTTGCCTGGTGCTCCGCAGGGTTGCTGCCCGCTGCTGTGTTCTGTTTGGGGGACAGTCTGACTTCAACAAGGGTCAAAGGGTCCATGACCCAAACCATCCGATATGAAGACTCCGCAGATTGTCAAGGGTTCAGCCTCCTGATGAGTCGGTGCAACTCCGAGGAAACGACCTTTCATCATCAGCTTTTAATTTATTATTTTTTTCGATCTTTGTTTTTGCCTTGTGCTGTTTGTTTGCACACCCTCCTCCCCCCTACCCTCCAACCTGTCCTTCACTGGTTTCTGTTCTTCTGGTCGCTTTGCTGTTTTTTTATACTTGTACTTGTGCCCTCCACACGTGGTTAACAGGGACCCCCAGTTTCAGCTGCTGACTAACTGGTCCAAAACTATGGTATCTACGCTATGACTTGGTGGCAAGTTTGGTTAAAATGACCCTTGGATTCTGTTATAAATGGCATGACAAGTTGTCTGAAAATTAGGGCCTCCGTGAACCGCCTCTCCACCACACAGCGAACACAACAATTTGTCGAGAACCACATGCGAAGCAAGCGGGACAGGCAGCTAGGCAGTGGCAGAGCGACGAGGCAGTCCACACATCCAACACGGAGCAAAGCAGCACAACACCTACTCACATCACGATTGAACACCGCAGACTGTGGGTTCCCACCACCCGCTGAGCCAGGGAGTCACTCCGACGAGCATCCGTCATCACCCACAGGCAACACAGACATCCCGAACTGAGCAGCCCCCTAAGAGTGCAGTAGGCACTCCAAATGAGGAACCACCGACTGTCTGGCACTGCTTATTAGTGCTCAGTTGGGTGAGTAAAAGTACTTGGAAAAAATCAGAGGGAGAACAGACAACAAGAGGAAAACAGACAGACATAAAATTTATTTTGTGTGTGTGTGTGTGTGTGTGTGTGTGTGTCCGCGCAGTTATTTCTTAAGTTTAACTTAGCGGCTGTCTTTCTCTGCACTACCATAGCTAGACCCCGTTATAGTACGGGTGAGGCGCCATGTGCGCACTTGTTACACACACACACACACACACACACACACACACACACACACACACACACACGTGTGTGTGTGTGTGTGTGTGTGTGTGTGTGTGTGTGTGTAACAACTGCGCACATGGCGCCTCACCCGTACTATAACGGGGTCTAGACCCACATGTGTGTGTGTGTAACAACTGCGCAAATGGCTCCTCACCCGTAGTATAACGGGGTCTAGACCCACATGTGTGTGTGTGTGTGTGTGTGTGTGTGTGTGTGTGTGTGTGTGTAACAACTGCGCACATGGCGCCTCACCCGTAGTATAACGGGGTCTAGCTATGGTAGTGAAGAGAAAGACAGCCGCTAAGTGAAGCTTAAGAAATAACTGCACGGGTGACCGGTGCATAGTTCCGAATTCGCAGGAAGGAATAACAGTAACAGGGGCACTGCGGTTATGGGCCGAGGGAGGGCAGTTAGAAACTGCAAAAACAGATTCTGAACTGTTACAGCTTTGTGCACTTCTAGCCGTTGGAAGTTCGGAAGTGGCAAAATCAGGTGGCCACTCGTGTTTTTTTTTTTTGGCCGCGCCTCCGGCTTTTCCCCCCCCCCCTCGCATACGCTTTTTTTCCTTTTTTTTTTCTGCGCCTGCGACTCTTTTTTTTTGTGCCTTTTTTTTTTTTTTTTTTCCCGCGCCTGCTGATACCACGGCCGAGCTGTCTAGGCCA